TTAAGCGCCTGCAGTCTATGACTTCCAGTGGCTCCCTATGCTCTAAAGCCTCACTAACGTAGCCACTTACATTAGTCAGTGCCCTTCCCAACTCCCGCACTGACCGACCGACGCTGTCACGGCAAATCTGATCCAAAACACGAGGGAAGTCGTTACCAGGGTCTGTCGCCTCCAGATAGTCTTTGAGATCCCGCATAGCCAGGGCTTCGCCTAAAGTATTAGTCTGATTACAAGGACTGCACAGGAAAATTCTGGAGCACATCTCGAGCCAGTAGAATCTTCCGCGTTTATTCAACAAAACTTCTTCCTGAATGTTAGCGGCATCATCCCTGGCTGCTTCAATGAACTTCTTCATGGCTTCCTTAGGTACCGCAACGAGGAATTGAACCCTGGCCTCTTTTGTTCGGTGACCTAGTACCAACATTCTAAAAACACAGTCGGCAACAGGTGGCTGCACCCCTTCGGAATTCACCAGCCACGCCAGCAGTCCCAACTGTCCCACATTGCCTGACGCCTGGCATGATACGGTCTTCATTGGCTCTTCAATTATCCAGCTCAAAATTCCCTCCTACGTTATGATTCATTTGCCAAGTGCCTCATTGGGGTTAAATTGGGGTCCGATCGGCCCTGCCGTTAGCTTTTTATTGGTTGTAAGATCTTTTTACGACTCATAATCCATCCAGCTCGTAGACCTGAACCCACTCACCAGAACTGTTATGTCCCTGCTCACGATCCCAGAAGAAGTTTTTTATGCAAATCTTTGTCGCTACACATTCCCGTGAACAGATGCTAGACCGAGTCCTTGACACTACCGCTGCCAACTAGTGACGTGGTAGCTAGGGACAAGGTGGATCTGCCGTTGGCGAGCATCGTCTCCTGCGTGTTGTTTCCACGAAAAAACCGTCAGGCTGCCGCCAAAGGGATCGAGAGAACTGATGACGACAACTCAGAAAGGGCAGCCTGTGTTGGGTGCTGGGTGGGGGACGGCCTGCTAATGCTGAGCTCGTCGTCTGAGTCGCGGAATAGGGGTATCGTGTCAGGCAGGAGTGTGTCCCCCTCTGTCTCCCTCTGTCTCCCCTATATCAAAAACCCCGTTGCCGGCCCGTCATTGAGCTGTTACGTCTCGACGCACCAGCAGCAGCGACACCCTCGCAGACATTCCCTTCCATGAGACAACATGCGGTTTATCCTGTCTGTACCCACCTGGCTTGCGTCTGGTAGTGTTGCTTGCTTGCGTCCATTCAAGCCGGATGGCACAATCATCTTTTTCAAATCACACCAACTAGTTACACCACCTAGTTCACACTACCAACTCGGATCGTCAATGCTAGGGTCACGCATGACTGCTTGCCGTTCATATTTTTAGGCAGGGATCCTCCCGGTGCCGTTGCCTCCCGATGAAAGTGCCGTTGCCTCCCGATGAAAGTGCCGTTGCCTCCCGATGAAAGTGCCGTTGCCTCCCGATGAAAGTGCCG